TATGGCATGAAAAAAGAAGTGTTTGAATTCGTTGTGAAGTGTTTAGTATGTCAGCATATTAAGATGGAATATTAGGTTCTTTAGGGGTTGCTTCAACCGATCCAAATTCTGCAATAGAAGTGAGATAGAGTGATTATGGACTTTATGACCGGGTTACTAATGAGTAAACAGAGACATGACGCGGTGTGGATCATAGTTGACCGGTTAACCAAATCAGCTCACTTTCTTCCATTCCGGGTGAATTATACTTTAGAAAGGTTGTGACAGCTCTACATCCATGAAATAGTAAGGTTTTATGGAGTATTAACCTTGATCATATCCGATATAGATATGTGATTTACTTCTCGGTTCTGAAAAGCTCTTCATGAATCCCTAGGCACCAAGTTACACTTTAGTACTGTCATTCATCCTCATACAGATGGTTAGTCTGAGAGTGTTATTCAAATCCTAGAAGAGATGCTTATATGCACGTTTATTTACCTTAAAGGCAGTTTGGAATATCATATACCACTAAAAGAGTTCGCATATAACAATAGTTACCAAACTAGTATTCATATGGCTCCGTATGAGGCTTTATATGGATGCAAGTGTAGGACTCCACTTTATTGGACCGAACTTAGTAAAGGGACGATAATGAAACCAGATTTGATTAGGGAAACCAAAGAGAAAGTTTGGTTGATTTAGAGTCTGTTGAAGGAAGCTTTCGATAGACAAAGATTGTATGTGAATTTGAAACGAAAGGACATCGAGTTTGTTGTAGGAGATAAGGTGTTCCTTAAAGTGTCTCTATGGAAAAGGTACTTCATTTCAGGCGTAAAAGGAAGTTAACCCTATGTTTCATAGAGCCCATATGAGATACTTGAGAGGGTTAGTCTTACCCCTAGAGTTGGAGTGTATCCATGATGTATTCCATGTGCTCATGCTTAAGAGGTATTGTTTTGACCCTTACCACATCATACTATTAGAGAAAATTGAAGTAAGACATGACATAACTTATGCGGAAGAATCGATAAGGATTTTAGCTAGGGATGTGAAAGAATTGAGGAACAAGATGGTTCCCCTAGTAAAGATTCTATAAAAGAATCATGACATCGAGGAAGCAACGTGGGAAACCGAGGAAGATGTTCATCTTCAGTATCCATATCTCTTATATTCAAGTAAATTTTGTGGACAAAATTTCTTATTAGGAAGGGAGAGTTGTAACTAGGGTTGTAAACGAGCTGAGTCGAGCTCGAGTATTGCTAAGCTCGACTCAACTCGAAAACTCTGAAATGGAGCTCGACTCGAAAACTCGCGAGCTTAAAATTTTTAAGCTCGACTCGAACTCGAAATCCTAAACTAAAGCTCGTGAGCAGCTCGAAAAGGCTCGAAATGAAAAAAATTCTTAAACTTAACTTGATTGAAGCCTCAGACTCAAACTTGAACTCGAACATGAATCTTAAATACATGAAATCTTACTGTATTTTAAAAAAATCAATACATAAATATTAATATTATTAATAATTTATTTTAAAAAAAATAAAATCTTAATATATTATATTTTTGAACTGCTCACAACTTTTCGATTTGAATATCGAGTAGCTCGTTTCAGCTCGTTAAGAGCTCGAGTCCATTCGATCTAAGTATTTATCGAGCCTTGATCGAGTCGATCTCGAGTAGCTCGCGATCTGTCTCGTCTCATTTACAGCCCTAGTTGTAACTCCCCAAATAAGGGTACTATCGATACCATTTTAGGATTTAGGATTTTAGTAGCCTATTTTGGTATCGATACTCAAGGGAGTATCGATAATGAGGTGAGGGTACTGATACCTTAAATAAGGGTATCGACACTTAACACATATTCAAACATTGAAGCTTTATTTGGTATTGATACCTAGAAAGAAGTATCGATACCCAAGAGACCAATATCAATACTGCAAGTCCAGTATCGATACCCTCGTCCTAATTTGGGTAAGAAACCTATCACATCTCAAGTAAGTTGGGTTAGGGGATCAAAGACCATCTAAACTTAATAAATAAGATTCCAAGTGAGAACAACACTCATGACTATAATTTAGGGAATCATAAAACTAAACTTGTATGGTACTTGAGAAATGATCAGGACAGTCAAACTACTCTAGCAGCTAGGTAAACGCTTGCGTGGTAGAATGTCCAAACATTTCTTAATTAGCGCATAGGGTATTTCTTTATCGACCTAGTGTAAATGCCCCTAGTACTCGTATGAAGTAGGTTGGTTGGGTGAACTTTCCGATGTGGAAATTTTGGATCTCACCTTAGGTAGACTATGTGGGTGTGTCTCTCTAAGATGTAGCGAAACCCTCTAACAACACCATGATGCCCATCTTCGTATGTATGTTTATATTTCCATTTCTGTATGCATATATTTATGTTAGCTAGCATGATCACATAATGGACGACTATAATATAGTTTGGTTATTAGTGTGGCACTGAGCTAGTGAGCTCAGCGTTTGGAATTTGTTTCTGTGTGCATGTTCTTAGGATGAGCGTTTGATGAGTTTATTGCACAGTCTGCATTCTAGAACGATATTATCTTTTGAGTACGTTTTGAGTATATTTTTAAAGGGCATGTACTATATATGGACCTTTTGTATTTAAGTAGTAACTGTATTTTGAAATAATTCTTTAAATTAGTTAGATGTATTTTGGGGGCTCCCGATTTGTAAATTTAAACACTACTATTTCATTTTACATTTATGGTGGATGTTTTAAATTGATCTTTATAGATATTTTTGAAATAAAATTTTTGGGTTAACCACTTTAGTGGTCTCGTGTAACGTTTTAATCCATCGGTGGATTAAAACATTATACTATCAATTTAGATTTTCATAATTTAATTTAAAACTTATAAAACCCCAAGTTACTATAGTCTACAATATCCACCATTTGAATCAAGATATATAATCTACTTCTCCTCCATTCCAAATTAATTTTAGTGTATGCATGCCATTTTCTTTTAACGGTTAACTTGAACAACTTTAAAATACCCGGAAGAGAAAGATCTGCAAAGACTAATAAAACTTTAATGAACAAAATTACCTTTTGCTAGAGCTTTTCTGTCTTTTTTCTTTTTAACTTCCCGCATGCGTATCTCCAAAAGATTAAATCCAAATTTGATGATAATTAAGGGACTAAAATCATAATTTGGCCAGGGTTTTTAACATGTTTGTAAAAGGAATTATTACCTCTTCCCTCCTCTTGAGTTGAGCTTCCTTAACCTGGAGTTGTATCTCCTAGTGCTTCAAATTCAACACTTCAAGCATCACGATTAATACATATATTGGGAGAAAACTGAAGCAGCAGCAAAATGGGCACTTAGTAAGTCACCGTAGCTTTATCAAGGGTCATATCAATGGCTGGATTGCCATCATAATTGTAGCAGACTGGTTGACTTGGTAGCCTTGACTGTGAATTATGTGAAGGGTTCTGCAAAGTTATACTAATTCCAGTTTTCTTAATTTCATTTCCATATTTACAATCAATGCATCTATACGACTAAAATCAGAATCTATAAATTAATAATTGAAATATATTCGTACAAATTCAGAAATTTAAATTTAAATAGATCTATATTGAAAATACGTACATGATATTTTATTTGATTGAAACTCTAAATTAAAGTTTCATTTACATCAACATAATCTCCAATGATATATATTATTTATGTCAATTCTTTAAAGGTTTAACTGTGCCAGCCTGCCAGGGTTCCTTACTATTTTAAAATTTAGAATTTAAAATTTAGCCCCTATGTTTTAGTTTTGTGATGTTGAGTCCATGTATGATCTTTTGTTTTTAAACCCTTGGTCCAATCCTTTACTTTTGTTCTATTTTATCAGACCTGACATCTATAAAAAGGCAAAGTAACGTTGTCAGTCCCTTTTGTTTCAATTTTTATGAATTTAACCTTTAATCTTTAAAAAATAAATAATCATTAATTGAACATAGAGCACTAAAAGAAGTTACTTGGGATTTTTTTTATAGATATTAGGTCAATAATTAATGGTAAAATTAAACATAAATTAGTGAAGGGATCAAATTTTCAAATGAAAAATAATACAAGGACTCGAATGTTGCATAAGTAAAGTATAGGGACTACATGTTAAGTTTTGAAATAATACAGTACCTTTAACATATTTAAACCTTTCTTTAAATCATATCAAATTCAAATCAACTTAATTTCTAGTGATAATCATGTGACAATAAACTAATGACGTAGACTTGTTGAACTTTATAATCGTAAACGCCGGTATGTGATATATATATATGTGTGTGTGTGTGTGTGTGTAAACCACAGAAAAGGGTTGACAACATCTTCTTCGTCAAAAGGGTTCCTATGGCGGTGAGCAGCCATGGAATAAAATAATATTAAAGGGTTAGCAAAAGCTCTCAGCGTAGAGCACTATGAACACAGAGGAGGGGGACATGCTTTCTTGGAATGTGGCAACATTTTTCATTACCAGGTAACTAAATCTGTAATTCACCCTATTTTTAAAGTAATTTAATATATGGTAAACTACCTATTTGGTCCCCCACATATTACTGAATTTCTATTTTTGTCACCCAACTATTATTTTTTTCAAAATTATACTTAAGGTTACGTTTTGGTCACTCATCATTAAAAAATTAATGATCATGCTGACATGTCACCATAAGATAGTGTCACATAAATATTGAAAATAATTAAATAAAATCCACGTTAACATCACCATTAACTTTTAAATGACGGATAAACAAAACGTAACGTTAAATATGATTTTGAAAAAAAAAATAGTTGAGTGACCAAAACAAAAACTAAGTAATAGGTGGTGACCAAATAGGTAGTTTACCCCTTTAAGATCCTGCAATTTTTTTTTAAATGTTTGTTAATTTATATTTAAATAAAATAAAATAATTTTATTAATTTTAAAAATATATTAGTTGTTGTTTAATACTTTTGGAGCTAATTTTCCACCATTGTTTATATTTCCAGAACACAAAGGGCTTCCTTTAGTTTTACAAGTTAAGCTGCAGTTCTATAACAGTTTAGGTAAAACTTGTACACATGATAACTCTGGACATTTTTCTACACTTAGAAACATTGAGCTACAACAGGGCTTCATAATTTAACACAGAGCTCGAGTCCTCTTTCTTCCTTTTGTTCAAGTCTCGGACTTTCGACAAGAGCGTGCACCTCCCCCTTCCCTTGGCCGAGGAGCTGAAACCTTCTTTGTCACACCCAAGGACTCCGCCGATGCAGGAGACTCCACTTTAGTTGTTTTTTGCCTCCCATGAAAAGTCCCAACCGCGGGGTTCCCATTGTTGCACGTGTTCCCTGGCGGTTTGCAGTTACCAGCATGAACAATCCGGGGCTTTGCAGGGGGCTTATGCATAGGCTTGCAGAAGGGAGCGGTGGTGCTGGGAACCATACCGCCGCATTCTGTTAAATGTTGTCGCAGAGTTGCGGTGACAATATGTCTCAGACGCTGTGCGGATTTATATTCAAGAGTGTTCTTCGAGTAAAAAACCAAGGCATTGTTGGCGACTAATAAAGTATCACGAAAGAGTTCTCTAACAGACGAGATTGAATTACTGGCAATTCTCGATCTTATGGTGTCGAAATCCATGTGTCGTAGGATCATTTTTTTGTATCTTCCTCTTTTCTGTGTGAAAAAAGGACAATCTAAAGATTATCTATATATCAACATCATGCTTGGTGCAACTAAAGAGCAGATTGGAAAAGAATTATTGACAATTGTTAATGAACTGAACTGAGAATATTTTCCTTTACCTGGCTATCGAGTCTCCGTCGAAAGATGGAAGCGCAGTCATTCTCCGCAACGGAACTGAATATTCTCATTATATCATCAATCCCGTCCTTAGCCGAACCTCCGCTCTGATCCTTGACACCCGAAGTTTTAGCAATCTGAGCAGAGTTACTAGCTGAAGTTTCCTTGCAATCCAAGGCACTTCCAACATCGATCAAGCATAGAAACTCACTTTCTCCGACACTCCCTTCTTTGGCATCCTTACTGCAACCCTTCTTCTTTCGTTTCCCTCTCCTCTTCCGTATACTCGGCAACTGTCCTCCGCAGAATGTATCTGCCAACTTATCGATGCTTGAAAATTTCTCCCTCTCAGAGATCAGCAAGTCTCCTGCTGGCTTGGAATCCATCTCTTCTACAGGCACTGCAGCCGGAGTCGGACAATCAGGCACCCAGTTTGTCTCGGCTTCCTGTGTGAAACTACCGGCAGAGAGGCCATCCTTATATGCATCCTTACTCGAAAATTCAAATCCCTCGGATTTAAGACATGGTAAGGCTGATTCTGTCTGGCTATCATAATCAACCCTCGAATCGTTTTGTTTCTCAGCTTTTAAGCTTTCGAGCTTTGATTCCAGAGACCTGAGAAGGACTAGAATAAGTCCAGAGTAATATACACGCGAGAATGCAAAGGATGTAAAAACTCGAGCTATTAACTATAATGCATGTCCCTGAGAGAAATAATGTGCTGATGAAATTATCTGATTAACGACATCTGACATCCTGGATGGCAAAACTCACCCGATTGAATCACCAGATTTCTCTAAAGCTCGCCTCAGTTCTTCCATTCGTTGCTTACGTAGCTCCTCGAACCAAGCTCTAAAAGAAGCATACTTAGAGTGTAAACTATGCAAAAATGAATCATTACAACAAACTCAGACAGGACTACTCACTTGCAACCAGAATAACGTCGTTGCAAATCCTCGTACTTGGCTTCACAGACCTGCATTCGAATACGAACTGTGTCAGATGAAATCTACAAAAATGAAACCAAGTAATTCAATACACTGCATTAACCGCTGGAGGATTAGTTTATAACCCCTTCCCATTTAAACAAGGAAAGTTCAACATCATTCAATCAAATACACTTTCCTAGTCATGTAGTTGAATTATAAAGACTTCAATCCATACCAGTATGTCCTACGAACCAAAGTACATTCGTTAACTAGTTCAAACACGCAAACTTTATACTCGATGAAGTCCGGAAAGTGAGATTCGAACCTCGAACCTGATTGTTAAACATTAGGCCAAGATTGTGGGAAAGGCAAACTTCAAAGTTCAATGCATTAGTTGAGGCTAATTAACATTAAGTGACTACTAATTGCTGTCATAATTAGCTTGAATGGCATCCTATTATCCGATACTAAACGGACACGGACACGGACACGTGTATAGTGTCGGATCCTCCGATCATATGTCGAACATGAATGCTTCCAGCAGAGTGAACATCTAATCAACTGTTTACTCTCATGTACTAAAATTGCCTAATTCCCTTTCTCCTATAATCTATACTAAAAGAACCAGTGAGAAGTGAAGATCCATTCTTATACTATTCAGTTAATCCTAATTAGCCACGTGACAAGCCCTTTATCATTAGTAAATAATTAATAACTACGGAGTACTAAACTATAATTAGTAATCAAAATCATGCAAATAGAAAATCATGTCGTTGTCTCCCCACTTTCTCAATTGATTTCCTTTTTTGAAAATAAAAATCAAAACCATTTCTTTAATGCTAAAAGAAACACAGATTAAATCAAGGAAACATTAATTGAATTATAGAAGTAATCGGGTAATAACCTCGGCAGTGAAGGGAAAGGGAGAAGCGATTCGGGTTCGGAGCTCCGAGGCGACGAGGTCCCAATCTCCGGTACCGTGGCGGAGAACCGCCCCGCCTAACAAAAGCTCCTCCCAAGTTCCCCACGTCCTCTTTATCATCTCCTTCAAAAAGGAAAGCAAGAACGCTGACGACCCACCACCGGAAAACAATAATTAAATGAAGAAAACCATCGCCTTGAGCAAATCCGGTGCCACTAGCCTTTGAAAAGAAACAAAAAAGGCGGTCGTTTAAAAGTAAAGGTTTTTGAATTTATTTATTAATGGTAATTGGTAATGGAGAAAAGAAGTGGAATCAGGGAAGAAATGAAAGAGAATTTGTGAGAAGAATTAAAGATTTACATAAAAAATGATTAATTTTTCTAAGAGAGAGAGGGGACAAAGAGAAGGCTTGATTAAGAAAGTAAAGCATGCAACTCTATTTTTCTTCTTCTGCGATTGGGTTCTCGATATTAATGAAAAAAATGGTTTGTTTTGGTTAAGAAACAGAGGCGCTGTCGTTTCTATAGCTTCTCGATTTTCGTATTCGGAATTCACCTGATTGTCTCTGTGTATATTAAAAAAGTTAATAGCACAATAAAATTCAATAAACTATTTAATTTAATTTAATTTAATTTAACTCATAATTTTATAAGTTCATTTTAATTTAAAAAATCTAGAAATTCATGTCAAAATTTATAAATTTAATTCAGTTTTAAAAAATAAATAAAATTTAAATTATATATATAACTTGTCACTTTTAATAACTCAATATTTTCTATTTGTTTGATTCAATCAAATGTTGACCTCTAAAATTTAGGGCAATCTTTTTTACAACTAACTCCTTTTTTTTTATAAGAAAAACTTATTACATATTTAGAATAAAACTCAGACATTCAAATTGGACCAAACACAAAATTAGTAGACAAGAATCTGTCATGTTTGAGCTTTAAATCTACAGTGTTTCTTGCTTTGCAGTTGCATGAATGGCCTCAATTAGGTTGACTTCTTTAACTTTCCCACCACTGAATTATCTTTCATGCATATGTTTCAATAGATTCGTTGGCTGTCTTAATCATATCTGGTTAACCCAAAACTACATGTTTATATATTTTTTTTTAATGATACGATTGATTATAATGTAATATATGTTTATAATATGATTGTCAATAATATATACTTTGTAAATGTAGTTATTTGACTCTAATATTTCTAGAGAACAATAAATACCCTACAAAATACATATGCACCAAATGGATATGTTCCTATATAGTATATCTCTCTCTATAAGATCATTTCATTAGCCCAAAAAACTAGGTAAATTAAAATATATCATTAAACTTTATTCTCTCTCTTATTTTACTTACTTAACTTTAAAAGTTTTTAATTTCCTCACTAAACTTAATACATTGGGTTTTTTGGCCACTTGGCCTTTAAGGGTGCGTTTGGTTCACGGAATGTAAGATTACCAGTGAGAATAAAAGATTACCAGGGAATAGGATTACTGGGAATGTTGTCTTTTGTGTTTGGCTGGTTTAGCTGGAATGTAAGATTACCGTGTTTGGTTAAAAGAATAAAAGATTATTGGAATGTATATTTGACCAAATTTTCCTTATTATATATTTGTATAATATTACAAATTATAAAATATTTATATATTTTCTTTAAAAAATTAAATTCATAATATTTATGTAATTTTTTTAACAAAATTAAAAATATAAAAAAGGTTTAATGAAAGGGTAAAAAAAATTAACCCCTTAACTCCATATAAAATTTTAATTATAGATTTTTTTTGTAAATCTAAAATAATTTAAGGATAAATTTGTAATTTAACCTTCGTATAATTTTTATTATTCAATGACAGAAGATGGATATTTTTGAAAAAAAAAATAAAAATTTAAGAGCATTTTAGTCCAAAACGCCGGTAATGTTACAATACCTAAGGGAAGGGAGGTAATGACATTCCCGGTAATATACCCCAAAAAATCTACTATTGGTAATAAAACATTACTGGGAATGAGATTCCCGGCTAACCAAACATAGGAATCCCACAATCCTTGAACCAAACACCCCCTAAATAGTTAACGATATTAAAATGACGACGTTTTAAAAATAAAATTTTAACAAAAATGATGTCGTTTTGTATCTATATAAAATCTCAGTTATAACACCGTTAGTGAAAAACAACCAAGTGACTAGAAAATTTTAATGTATTAAGTTCAATTAGAATATTGAAAATATTTAAAATACAATGAGTGAAATATGAGAGAGAATAAAATTAATTACTAAACTTGTAATTTTCCAAAAAAGGAAAAGGAAACAACTGAATACTTCTATTTGGTCATCAATCGCACCAATTGATCCAACTCTAAGGATGCTAACTTTTGATTTTGATCTAGTGCTGTAGGTGTACATAGACCAACAAAATCACCAGTTTCTTTTTTTTTAACAGCAAATAATCATGATTGCCTTGTACATACTCATTGCCAATATGAGCTTTAATAAATTGGATAAATTATTTGTTTGACCACTTAATTATTGTACATTTTCATTTTGACATTTTGATCATCAATTTTAAAATTTTGTCTATTCAAATATATCAATCAAACTACCAACTTTTAATATTTAATGAAAGATATGATGCGATACGTTAAAAAACAATATAATTATATATTTTATCAGTTTATTTATGATTTTAGTTTAATTCAAAAATAATAATAATAATAATAATAATCCTATGATGATGGCTCATATCACGATAGGTTATGGATTCAACGGGACTCAAGCCTAGGTCTATAGGAGAATGGTTGAGTGCCCTTACTACCAGGCTGAATGCCACTTTTGGTTATGTTTTAAAATAAATTATATATAGGTTGTAATATAATAAATGACAAAAAAAAACTAAAAGTAACAAAATGAAGACTTTAAAGGAATCTGGTGGCACCTAGACCACTTAAATAAATTTAATACTTTATGTTTGTTTAGATTAATTAGTATATTCACATCTAATTCAAATGGTTATTAATTTTTTAACAAAAAAGATAAATTAAAACATATGAATTATCAACAAATCATTTTATAATTTGTAGTAATCAGAGGATTTATTAAAATAATTTTATATAATTTTTTTTTAATTTTTAATAATTAGAAAATTAAAAAATAATATATTATAATTAGAAAGATAATTTATGTAACTTACCCAAAATTCTAATAGCAGAGTATGGAACCGCAGCTCTCGAATGTTGGCGGAGGTTAGGTCAAATGAGAAGCACTTAACAAAATGAAAGAATGGGGTGGGGAGAGTTGATGGAAATAGACAAAATAGATTTGGGGGGGGGGGGGGGGGGGTTAATGCCTGCCAAATGGCAATTTGCAGCCCACTTGTCATAGCTAACGACTGAAGAATTTACGGCTTTGGTTTTGCTGAGGTTAGCCTCCCAACTGCTGATTTCTTAAAGGACAAATTGTTATTTAGCACCTACACTATCAGTTTTATTCCATTTTAGTACTTAAACTTTCATTTTTCTCAAAACCATACCTAATGTTTAGTTTTTGTTTCATTTTAGTATCATACCATAAAAAATTAACACGTTTAGTATCTAAACTACAATTTTGATTGTTTTAGTACATAAATTTTTATTTTTTTTAAACTTAACATTGAATTTTTAATGGGATACTAAAATAAAAAAAAACTAAAAGTTATGTATGGTATTGAAAATAATTGAAAGATTAGATATTAAAGCAAACCAAAACTGATAGTTTAAATACTAAATATGTAGTTTATCCTTTCTTAAATCATGCCATAGCTGTCACTGTTAGATAATCATGGGATCTCATAAGTTAAATGAAGGAATGTTATTCTTTAAAGTTTTAAATTTGGACATTTTATTGTTAAATGATTAAGATATTTTTAAACACATATTATCTTATAATTATTTGATACTATTGAAAAAATTACATTAAAATTTTAAAAAACATAAAATTATAAAAATTCTAAGGATATGAACTCGTTGAATGATTATAGTGATAAAATAAAACGTTATTATTTAGAGAATCTATATTCGAAAAGTTAGGTCTATGATAGGTATATGAATTATTAATAATTAAAAAATATTATGAACAAATATTACATTATAATCATCATAGTTTGTAATAAAATTATTTATATATTGAAGTATTGTAATATTGTTTTTTAATTATTTATTTTTTGTTTCATATATATTTTTAAATTAAATCCGATGAAACTCGTTACCTCGAAAGAGTTTCAACGGTTAATTTTCCTAAATTTCAAAAGTTTTTCGTTGCAACACGGGTACTTTTTATAAAATTCAAGGCAAATTCATCACCTTGACGTTAACAAATTTAAAAAGAAATTAATTTTTAACGGGACTCGTTACCACTACGTGATGAGTCCCTCTGAAAATATTAAAAGTATTGGCCCACGTGAGACCCACATACCTAAGACCATTAAAAATTATTTTTAATACAACTCGTCACGCCATGGTAACGAGTAACATATTTACTTTAACAAATATCATATAATGCAAATTGAAATCTATTTTGACCTATTGAGCCAATTAATTTGTACGCATGGGGTATTGGGCAAACAACTCAAGATCATGACCAGTTTGGGCTCTCTTTATTCCGGCTTGGATGTGTGATCAAAGCTTGAAGACAAGGGAACATATTCATATATTTCCACTTTTTTGGTATGCAAGAGTTGTGTGATTCAAACTTACTCGTATTTATAAATGATTAGCTTAAGTCTCTTTTCCACATATCCATATTATTATTAAAATATTTTTTTAATTTAAATTTTATATTTAATAATATTATATATATTTTCTTGTATTAATTTTTTTTATTTTTATACAAAAATAACTTAATATATATATATATTGACATTTATATATTTATAAATTTAAATTCAAGTGATACAACTTTTATAATATAAAAAATAAAATAATACAATTACTATCCAGTTCAGTTGGTAGAGCACAAGGTTCTTAACCTTGAGGTCGTGGGATCGAGTCCCATGGAGGGCATTTCATAATTCGGAAGTCTTCTACGGAAGCTGCTCTCAACCTGGTATTGGGGCAGCCTACTATCTTACATCCCCCTTACCCCATTACATATAGGAACAAGGGACAACCATTTTGTAAAGCGAGTCAGATTGGACTCGAGCCTTTAAGTTAGAATCCAAGCTTGACCCGACCCATA